TAATTTATATATATAATAAATATATATTATATATATATTATTTATTATATATATTTATATATTTATATATATTTATATATTTATATATTTATTTTATTTACTATATAAAGGGTAATTGGGGTGTATATGCACCTCATTAACAAAAAAAAATAATTTTTTCCTTTTTTTTTTGGCGTTTTTTATTTATTGACGCCAAACCCTTTTTTTTTTAATTTTTACGTTATACTTTCCTAGGGTTTAGGGTTTAGGGTTTACAAGTTAGGGTCTAGTCCAGTAACGAGGGTTTAGGGTTTAGGGTTTATTAGGGTTTAGGGTTTAGAATAGTAGAAGCTGTACGGCTCCAAGGAGCGCAAGGATATTACGTAGAGTTAAATATAAATAAATAAATATAAATAAATATAAATAAATAAATATAAATATAAATATAAATAAGTAAATAATATATATAAATATATATTATATAATACAATATATAGTGAATTGCGCGTCTCCGCTGTTTATATTTGTTGGGTAGTGTTTAGATGTATACGAGGGTTTAGGGTTTAGGGTTAAGGCATAGGGTTTTGCCTTTGAGTATGAGGGTTTAGGGTTTAGGGTTTACTGTGTAGGTTATTGAGTGTCTAGACAAGGTCTGTCTATAGGGTTTAGGGTTTAGGGTTTAGTAGTAATTTATTGTGTGTATAGACAAGGGTTTGTTGTTAGATGTATTAGCGAGGGTTTATAACCCTTAGAGTCTAAATAAGTGGGTATAGATGTATAAAATTAGGGTTTAGGGTTTAGGGTTTAGGGTTTGGTGGGTGATAAGGGTTTGCGCGTCGCATTGCGGGTGGTCTTCTGCACGAGAGGGTTTATTGGGTGTGGGCATGTTTAAAGTTGAATACTAGGGTTTAGGGTTTAGGGTTTATTAGGGTTTATTAGGGTTTTTATTAGGGTTTAATAGGTATGTAGCTAGCTAGGGTTTATATAAACAAAGGAGGTATGTATGTATATAGCCACTCCTCTGCCTGCATGCGCATATATAGTGTATAAGTATGCATTAAATATATAATAAATAAATTAGTTAATGGATTATTAAGAATAAAAAGAATAAAATAAATAAAAAAGGAATTATTTATGGTGTTTTATTGGATATAAATTGGGGTGTATACGCAGGTGCATGAATAATTGAGGTGTACATACACCCGAATAAGAAAAGGGGGGTTTTAGCAGCAAGAGGTATAAATCGGTGTTAATTGTATATAAATAAATAAAATAATATATATAAATAAATATAAAAAAAGAATATAAATATAAAAATAAATATAAATATATATTTAATATTCTTTTTTATTTTTTTTTTTATTCTTTTTTTTATATATTGGGGTGTACGTACACCTGGCGGCTACTGTTGTTGTTATTTATCTTCTTTTTTTTATTCATTTATTTCTTTCTTCTTTTCTTTTTTTCTTCCTTTTATGTCATTTATATTTATAAATATAATTATTGACGTATTTCTTTTTTATTTTATGATTTATTTTTCTTTTTTATTATACTTTTTATGTTATATTTCTTTCTTTTTTTTTCCTTCTTCTTATTGTTTTATATAAATAGACATATATAAATTAAATAAATAAATAAATAAGTAAATATTCTTCCTCCCTTTCCTTCTTTTTCTTCTTTTTTTTTTCTTTTTTTTTCCAATTCTTCTTCTTTTCTGTATTATTTCCCCTTAATTAATTAATATAATTAATATATAATATAAATAAATAAATAAATAAATAAATAAAGATGGGGAGTGTAGAGGAGGCATTTTCTTCATTAAAGAATGAATTATCTTTATGGTTAGATCGTTTGCATGCATCAGCTGGTATATTGCCATCAGGAGGAAACAGCAGCAGCAGCAGCAGCAGCAGCAGCAGCAGCAGCAGCAGCAGTAGCAGCAGTAGCAGCAGCAGCAGCAGGAGCAACAGGAGTACGAATATAATATATCAGGATCCAGTGTTTGAGGGTATGGTGAATGATTTACTAGATTATGACGAAACCCTCGGGTGTATAGAGAAGGGTTTAGGGTTTTATATAAAGGGTTTAGAGGGTTTATGCAAGGGTTTAGGTATATTAAGTAATATATTAATGAATAAATTGAGCAAAAAAACAGATAAATATATATTAAGGGATATAATTATATATAAAGAAAAAATAAATAATATAATAAGAATAGATTCTCCGCATGCATTAATAACAAGAATAAAAAAAGATTTATTATTTAATTTAATTAATCCTCTTATACAGCATAAACAACATAATAAATTATTAATTAATTTAATAAAAAAAAGATCTTTTTTATTAAATAAATTAATTATACATAAAAAACATCTAGATAGATTAATACAACAACAACAACAATATCATGGTCATTATATCTATTATAATCAACAGCAGCAGCAGCAGCAGCAGCAGCAGCAGCAACAGCAGCAGCAAGAGGGAGGAGGAGGAGGAGGAGGAAGAGAAGGGGGAGGAAGAAGAAGAGAGGAGGAAGAGGAAGAGGAAGGAGGATATAATGATGATGAGGAAGAAGGAGAAGAAGAAGGAGAAGAAGAAAGGGAAGGAGAAGAAGAAGAACAAGAATTATTAAGAAGAAGAAATAATAATAATAACAGCAGCAGCAGCAGCAGCAGCAGCAGGAGCAGCAAGAGTATGAGTAAACAAAAGAGTTCAGGTGTATCAATAGCTCGTACAATAATCCAACAAAGTGCATCAAGAATAGGAGGATTATCTCCTTCTTCTTCTTCTTCTTCTTCTTCTTCTTCTTCTTCTTCTGCTGCTGCTGCAGCAGGTGCAGCAGCAATATCATCAGCAGCAGCAGCAACAAGTGCATGCTATAAAGAATATAAATTAATAGATGAAGAATTATTTGAATGGTTATTATTATTAGATAATTATAAATTAGATATTTATGATTCTTTATTACAAACTATTAAGTATCTACAATATGATTTCTTTGCTGCTGCTGCTCATGCTGCTGCTGCTGCATTACCTAAAAGAATGGAATTCAGACCCATGATTGAGATGACACCACAACAACTTAAACCATTAGTATGCAGCATTTATTTCTAGGGTTTATTAGGGTTTACCAGGGTTTACCAGGGTTTACGAGGGTTTATGAGGGTTTACGAGGGTTTACGAGGGTTTAGGACGGTTTATTAGGGTTTATGAGGGTTTATTAGGGTTTACGAGGGTTTATTAGGGTTTATGAGGGTTTGTTAAGGTTTTATGGTGGATATATTAATATGTATTGTATTAATAGTTTATTAGGGTTTATTAGGGTTTATTAGGGTTTATTAGGGTTTATTAGGGTTTATTAGGGTTTTGTGAGGGTTTAGGGTTTAGGGTTTAGGGTTTGTGGTGTATATATATATGCAGGTAGAATTAGAATTAGGGTCTCGTGAGGAAGAAGTTCCTTTTGATCCTTTTTCTTTTTCTTTAGGATCTAATTGTACAGAAAAATTATTAAATAAATGGGAAAAAGAAGCAGAAGAAGCTGCTGCTGCTGCTGCTGCTGCTGCTGCTGCAGAAGGAGAGGAAGAAGAAGAAGATGATGATGATGAGGAAGAAGAAGAAGAAGAAGATGATGATGATGAAGGTACAGCAGCAGGAACTAATGCAGCAGCAACAACAGGTACAACAGCAGATACAGCAGCAGATACAGATACAGCAGCAGCAGCAGCAGCAGCAGCAGCAGGAGGAGCAGCAGACGTAGGGGCATTAGATATATTATCCTTAGCTGTATTAAGGAGTCAAGGGTTTGGGGAAGAAGAGAGTAAATATGCATTAATTAAATATAAGGGAGATACACAAGCAGCATTAGATTATTTATTAGATAAGGGTACCGATCTTGTGCTGCAGCTACAGCTGCAGCAGCAGCAGCAGCAGCAGCAGCAGCAACAGCAACAGCAACAACAGCAAGGAGAACAAGAACAACAGCAACAACAACAACAGCAGAAAAAGAAAAAGAAGAAAAAAAGACAAACTGGTGCAGCAGCAAATGCAGCAAATGGAACAACAGCAGCAGCAGCAGCAGGAAATACAGCAGCAGCAGCAGCAGCAGCAGCAGCAGCAGCAGATATAGATAGTGTACGTTTACCAACAACATTAAAATGGGTAAAAAGATTAAAAGAAGCAAGAAGACAAGAAATGTTATCATGGACACAAAGAAGAGCAGAAAGGGATGCTGCTGCTGCTGCTGCTGATAATAATAATAGCAGCAGCAGCAGCAGCAGCAGCAGCAGCAGCAGTAGTAGTAGTAGTAGTTGTTGTGGAAATAGCAGCAGCAAAGGATCTTTTAATACAGACACAGCAGCAAATGCAGCAACAGCAGATAAAGATAAATCTACTGCACCTAACAGCAGCAGCAGCAGCAGCAATAGCAGCAGCAGCAGCAGCAGCAGCAGCAGCAGCAGCAGCGATGCATGCATATCCATAGAGTCAGGTAATCAGGAAGGATCTCCTGATTCATTGTCTGAGGAAATATCTGATCTAATAGAGATGCATGCAGATCTATCTGCTGCTGCTGCTGCTTCTCCTGTTGTTGCTGCTGCTAATCATAGTGCATGCGCAGCACCTACAGAAGAAGGATCAGCAGCAGCAGCAGCAGCAGCAGGTCCTGTTGCTGCTACATCTGCTGCTGTATCTTCTCTTGATTTATTAGATTTAGATGACGACAACGATACATCATCAGCAGCAGCAATAACAGCAGGAGCAGGAGCAGCAGCAGCAGCAGCAGCAGCAAAGGGGGCCCCCCCTATACAGGTCCTCCCCTTACCGGGTTTATTGGGGCCCTTTAATGCAGAAGATTGCGAATGGAGTAAACAAAAGGAGAACGAAAGAATTGCAATACAAGAAACTATTAAATTCAAGCTAAGAATGCAGCAGGAACTGCAGCAGGAGCAGCAGCAACAGCAGCAACAGCAGCAGCAACAGCAGCAACAGGAAGAACAGCAGCAAGAACAGAAGAAAGAGCAGCAGAATGAGCAGCATGAGCAGGAGCAGCAGCAAGAACAGCACCAGGAACAATCAGCAGCAGAAGCAATTGATAGAAGCAGCAGCAGAAGCAGCAGCAGAAGTGAGGAAGGATATAAGGATATAGAGCAGCAAACTGCTGCTCCTGCTCCTGCTCCTGCTGCTCCTGCTGCTGCTGCTGCTGCTGCTGCTGTGCATGCAGAGGCAGCAAAGAAAGAAGAAAATAAAAACTATGATAATCTTCTGTAATGTTTTAGTGCTGCATTTTATTAATTAATTAATTATATTGTTTATATTTATAATTAATTATAATTATATATTTAATTAATTATTATTAATTAATTATTATTATTATTGTTGCATTTCTTCTTTTTTATGTTCCTACAAGACGCATGCGTGCATGCATGCATGCATGCACGCATGCATGCATGCATGCATATGCATGCATTTTGTTGGGGTTTATTTTATGGTGTATGGATGTACACCTAATTAATAATGAGGGTTTATATCCTCTTTTTTGTTTCCTTTATTATATAAATAAATAAATAAAATAAATAAATAAAATAAATAAATAAAATAAATAAATAAATGCCCTAATGATTTGTTGGTAGGGGCTATTTATTGGGGTGTATGTACAGCTGACGCTTCTATTTCTTTTTTTTTTCCTTTATTTCTTATATTTTGTTTTTTTTCTTCTCAATAGAGGAGCTAGGGTTTACGCCTACTTATATAACAAACACTATTTTAGGGTTTATGCCTATTTATATAACAAACACTATTTTAGGGTTTATGCCTATTTATATAACAAACACTATTTTAGGGTTTACGTAGTTACGGCTGTTTAGCCATAACCGCCGTAGTATCAAAATCGTTTATTGCAAGCGTAAACCCTAAACCCTAGAACCATTATGCCAATATAGGATCTAGGGTTTAGGGTTTAGGGTCTAATTAGGGTTTAGGGTTTAGGGTTTAGCCGCATAAGGTAGTAGTCGGCCCCTGGGGAGGAGACATGGCTGTCCCTCTGCTGACTGTAGTTATACCTAATAATTTACCTAAGAAAAAAAAAACACAATTAAATAAACACTAATTATTGTATATAAACCCTAAACCCTAATACAGACAAGAAAAGAAACAAGACGCTAGAGGATACCTTTTCTAGGGTTTAGGGTTTAGGGTTTAGACTTACGCTGCTGCTGCACCCATGAGAAGGTCAAGAAGATGACGAGGACCTGCAACAAAACCCACATAAACCCTAAACCCTAAACCCTAAACCCTTTGGCATTGTTGTAGACTCTCCCACTACTGTTGACCTAAACCCTAGTAGTAATATATAAACCCTAGTATTGATAAACCCTCATGCTAAACCCTCCTCGTCCCCCCACCAACACCAAAACCCTCCCCATAAACCCTATTCCTTTTCCTAAACCCTATTAATGCCTATATAAACCCTAAATGAGTGTTTATAAACCCTAATAACTAACTAACTAACTAAATAAATAAATAAATAAATAATGTATATATATATATATATTTACCTTAATAATAAGATTAATAAGAGAAAGAGTAAGAGAAAGATGATGAATATAATAAGACCATTGAATAAGTAAATCTTGTGGTAAAGGAAAACATAAATAAATATCTTTTTTATTACATGAATAAGTAGAGAAAGAAATAAAAAGAAAAGTTATATCTATAAAAGAAGAAATAATTATTAATATTATATATTGACGTATATTACGTATATGTTTACGTATATTTATTATATTATTATTATTATTTATATTTATATTTATATTATTATTATTATTATTTATATTTCCTTCCTCTATACACCATAGATGATAACCTAATATATATAATACATAATTAAAATCATACCTACCTAAGGAAATAAATAAAGAATTTACTAATAAAATATATATACATAATATAATTATACCTGGAGATCCACGCATATTAGGTAAATCATCATATATATTATTATTATCTCCTCCTCCTCCTGTTGCTGCTGCTCCTGTTGTTCCTGCTGATCCTGTAGGTAGCGCAGAAGGAGGGGAGAAAGATGATGGCATCATCATCATACCCCCGCTATAAGAACGCTGATTACTGCTGGGGAATATTAGGGGCCCCATTGAACCAAAGGGTACTGTTGTACTTGATGGGGGCCCCTGAGACGAAAGAGGGGGGCCCCCCCCATACATAGGGCGTGATACTATGTAAGGACTCGCCATGACCCCTGCATGCGATCAGCAATTAAGACTAAACCCTTAATAAACCCTCAGACCCTATAGAGAGAAAGAGTGTAGATATAAGGTCAATAAAGATATAAATCTCCCTTTATTCCTTTCTTCTTCCTTCCTTCCTTCCTTCCTTCCCTCTTCTCCCTCTCTCCCTATTAGACTATCACCGCTGTCGCCGCAGCCGACTGACTGACGGACTGATTGGTGTGTATGGGGGTGTGTATATAAAGGGAGGCCCTATTAAGGAAGAAGATGATGTGTTGCTCCTTTTCTTCTTTGTTCTTCACGTTGATAAAGAAGAAGAAGATGTTGTTGTCTTCTTATGTGTAGCTATTACTATATACACATAATCAAGAATATTCTCCTTCTTCTCTTCTTTCCTGTTGTACCGTCGTCGTCGTCACACCCCTTTCTGTTGAATGGCAGAAGATGACGAGGAAACAACCACTAAAAGAATTAAAAAAGTTATTCTTCTTATTGAAAAACTGCGAAATATTAAAATAAAACCTTAAAGATTCATAAATTCAACAGAACTAGAAGGATCAGGGCTTTCCTGTATATGTTGAATATCTGCGCCTTTTAGGCGGTCACGGTCGGCCTAGGAGAGGCCAAAAGAAGGAATAAAAAAGTTTCTTCTTTTTGCATAATCTTCTTTTTATTAAATTGCAAACAATTAAATTGTTTTCTTGTAAATTTACGAAAATAATTCATTCATGGGAACATGCAAGATCATGCAGCTTTCCGATTCCCTCTTACATACAGAGGTGCCTATACACCCGAAAAGCGGTTGATGGTCGCATGATGAATTAGCCATCATATATTCATGAATAAGAAACATTATTATATATTTATTTTATAAAAAAGGAATTCTCCTTTTTAAACTTTAAATTAAACATGAATATATATTTATAACTATTTTTCTTATATATTTCCTCCTATTATTTAGACATTTACTTCTACCTCTGTTCTTCTTCTTCAGCCCTGACGAAGACCATTCAATGCTCTCTTAAGGCGTGCATATAAAGGGGTTTAATTGCCTCTTCGTCAACTTCCTCAACCCTCAAGGAAATATTCAATAAAAGGGTAATTTAAATTATATAATCCTCTAAAAAGTATTAAATCATTTTATGCATGCATGCATGCATGCGAAGAAGAACAAGAGGCTTGCAAGATAATAACCCTTCCCCACTTCTTCTTCTTTACCCCATCAAAAAGAAGACAACAGTAAGTTTATTTTTTAGGGTTTATAAAAATGTACAAATTTACTTCTTTATGCAGCAAAGAAGTGTACAAACATTGTCTTAATACAAGACAACTGAACTTGCGGCCTCTATATACACCATATATAAAATACGTAGTGTATATTTAGTATATAAGACATCTATAATATACACACATATATGTATATATATACTTATGTATATATATGTATATATTTAGTAGTAAAAAAGACTTAGGGTACAGTGGTGGGGGAATTGTCCTTGAGCGTCACTACTCTTGCGCCAGAAGAACTGGGGACTCCTGCTGCTGCTGCAGCAGCAGCAACAACAGCATCTGCTGCAGAAGCAGTTACTGCTAGGCTGTGTGTGTTTGTTGTTGTGAGCTATATGCAAGAGAAATAAAAAAGACAAATAATTTATTGAGTTTGTTTTTAGGGTTTAGGGTTTAGGGTTTGGTATTAACAAAAGAGGGACGTGATCCCCTCAGTCTCTGCAGGATACCCATAGCAACTGTACCGCCTTGTGCTACTGCTGCTGTTGCTGCTGATGTTGCTGCTGCTGCTGCATCTTCTTCTGTTGGTGCTGCTGCTGCTGCTGCTGCTGCAGAGTTATCTGCCCAAGTAAGAGTGTTTTCTTCTTCTGTTTTCCCTCCAATAAGACAATTCTCTGCAAACACCAATACAACAGATATATAAATATTCCTGCTGCTGTTACTGCTGCTGCTGTTGCTGCTGCTGCTGTTGCTGCTGCTGCTGCTGCTGCTGCATGCTTATTGTATACCTTGTTGTTTTGTTAATTGAGGAGAAGAATCAGCAGGAAAGAAAACTTCTTCACTCTGACGCAGCAAATCCCATACCCTGCAGCAGCAGCAGCAGCAACAGGAGCAGCAGCAACAACAGCAGCAGCAGCAGCAGCAGCAATAATAATACTAATAATAAGACAGAGAAGGCTAAGCAGGGCCCGTACTGACTAAGAGAGAGGGAGGGAGGGAGGGAGGGAGGGAGACAACAGGAGACAAGGACAGAAGGAGACCTATATATAAAAGAAAGAGAGGAAGAAAGAGAGGGAAGGAAAACAAGAAAAAGAGAAAAAAAACAAAAATAAAATTAATTATAAGAGAGAGAGAGGAGGAGGAGAAAGAAAAGAAAAGAAGAAGAGACAACAACAACAGGAGCAATTATAGAGACTTCTATTGAAAACCCCCAAAACCCTAAACCCTAAACCCTAAACCCTAACAATGGGGTAATAGGAGGTTGTTTATCTTGTTGATGATTTAAGACTTTTTGTGTAAGAGGAAGATCAGCTAATAGACCAAGAGAGAAATAAATGCGGCAAAATAAAGGTCGCCATTTGTCACCATATACACCCTCTTTTAGCTGTACATACACCCAAAAACCCTAAACCCTAAACCCTATATAAACCCTAAACCCTAAATATACTCTAAACCCTAAACCCTAGATCTTCGTCCTAACACCAAACCCTCAATCTTAAACTTACAGAACGCAAACATAAAACTGTACGAGGACGTAGAGGAGGGAAGTGCAGCGCTGCACAAAAAAATACAAACCCTAAACCCTAAACCCTAAACCCTAGAAGAGGCAAGACTTGTGTTCTACCAGTTCTAAAGAACTCTGAATAGTCCTCGGTGTTCTGGGGGTCTAGGGTTTAGGGTTTAGGGTCTACGCGGTCGTACCCAGCTGCGTCATTGCAGCGACTGCAATGCATACAAGAGATGGTGAGGGGCAGCAAACTTCTCCCCCCTTAGCAGCAGCAGCAGCTGCTGCTGCTGCTGCAGCTGCTGCTGTTGTTGCTGCTGCTGCTGCAGCTCCCGCAGCGGGAGTCCCCGGATGGCTTTCTATAGGAGAATTGTCTGAGGCAACCATACAGCATATCCAACCTCCACCAACACCTAAACCCTAAACCCTAAACCCCAAACCCTACGCCCTAAACCCTAAACCCCAGAAAGTAGTACCTGACAGTTCTTCTTCAAATAGTCGCGAGGGCCTCTGGGGGCCCCCCCTTTGTCTCCCTGAACCCTGCTGCAGAGGGCCCTCCCCTTGTGCTGCTGCTGCTGCTGCTGTTGCTGAGGTGTCTGCTGCATCTACTGCAGCAGGTACCGCAGCACCAGCAGCAGCAGGAACAGCAGCAGCAGCAGCAGCAGCAGCTGCTGCTGCTGCAGCAGGGAAGAAGGAGGTATGGTTATTAATACGATCAATAAGGAAGAAATGACCATCTAGGGTTTGCGAGGGTTTATCTTTTCTTAATATTAAACAAATTATAAACTCTAATGCAGCAAAGTACTCCGATACTACCTGCAACAAACCCTAAACCCTAAACCCTAAACCCTAAACCCTAAAATATAAACCGTCCGTGGGTGGACGCCAAAACGCCTGAGAGGGAGGGAATGGCTGCCGCTGCAGCGGGGGGGTGCTGCTGTGTCAAGTACTAGGGTTTAGGGTTTAGGGTTTAGAGGTACCTCAGAGGGACGAATAAAAGGGTTTATTAGCTGCTGCTCTTTTAATAACTTAGGGGTAATTAGGGCCCCCACTGCCCAACAAAGGGCCTCCGCTAGGGGGGCCCCCTGGGGCCTCCAATGGGCCCCCATTGCCTTTAATATTTGTTCCTGATGATAGAGCTGCAACAAACAAAAAGAACCCTAAACCCTAAACCCTAAACCCTAAACCCTAAACCCTAGCTTTAAGGGTTTACGACAGGAAGATGATGTCTAAATATAACAAACACCAGCACACTTCCCATCACTGTTCTGCCTTCCCTCCCTAAACCCCAAAACCCTAAACCCTAAACCCTAAACCCTAAACCCTAAACCCTACAAGGAGTTCTGGGGTTTTCCTAAGAAGGAGACAAATAGTATCTACTGCTTTCTTAACTAAATGATCAACAAAAAACCCTAAAGGGAAAAGTAAGGATAAACGAAACACTAAACAGCTAAATAGCTCGCCTGCAGACACAAACCCTCAAACCCTAAACCCTAAACCCTAAACCCTAATTGACACGCATGGATCGGACAGTCTCTATGAAGGGTTTTGGCCTAGGGTTCAGGGTTTCAACCTTATTAGGATATAAACCCTAGGTGACAGTTGGATTTCATCTTCTCCCTGCTACATTAGGGTTTAGGGTTTAGGGTTTAGGGTTTAGGGTTTACTTCTGTGTATAGGGTTTGGGGATTCTATTGCCTCATTAATAAGAGCATCAATACACCCCAACACAACTGTACATACAGCAGAAACCCTAGGAGTAGCAGCAAACCCTCTGCAATGCATAATACACGCAAACCCTAAACCCTAAACCCTAAATAGTATAAAGAGAGGGAGGGGAAACGGAAGAAGATAAAGGGTCTCCTGTTATAGCAAATGTTCACCCTGAGGTTTTAGGGTTTAGGGTTTAGGGTTTAGGGTTTTACTCGCAAAGACGCAGAAGACGTTGAAGCTCTTCCTCAGTCCTTCCCTCCCACATCACCGGCGTACTACCTGCAGCAGCAGCAGCAGCAGCAGCAGCAGCAGCAGCAGCAGCAGCAGCAGCAGCAGCAACAGCAGCAACAGGAGCAAATATGACGTCGTGCTGTTGGTCCCCGTTATGCGTACGGCCTGCACATATGTATATTAGGGTTTAGGGTTTAGGGTTTAGGGTTTACCTGCAAGCCTCTTAAGAAGGTATTTATTTGCTGCATGCAGCAGAGGGCAGCAAGAGGCCTCGGGGGGCCCCTGGGGGCCCCACCTCTCTAAGAAGGCAGCAGTAAGAGGGAGGTCTAATAAGGAATTAAATATTTCTCTTAACGATCCTCCAGCAACCTGCACACATAAACCCTAAACCCTAAACCCTAAACCATACAAGGAGAGGAAGGAAGACAGAAACAGGAGAAAAACAAACGGCGTGGACCTCCATAATGCCAAATTAGGGTTTAGGGTTTAGGGTTTAGGGTTTACGATGGAGGGTATAAGGAAGCGCAGAAGAGGACCAACAGATCGAGGATGAGAGGCAGCCAACATAAAAATAGAAGGAAAGAATCTGCGGTGTACAGACACCTAATAACACAGGAGGTAAACCCTAATTAGGGTTTAGGGTTTAGGGTTTAGGGTTTTTTAGGGTTTAAGGTTTAGGGTTTAGGGTTTACCGGAAGAGGACTTGGGGTCGTATAAGGTGTCTTGAGTTAATAAGAGAAGTAACAGCAAATACGCAATAGACAGGACTTCTTGCTGCTGCTGCTCCTGCTGCTGCTGCTGCTGCTCCTGTGGCTGCTGCTGCTGCTGCTGCAGTTGTCCCCTCTACAGCAGGCAGCAGCAAACCCTCAAGAATTCCCTCTGTTAGAGACTCCGAAGCAGCAGGTGCAGCAGCAGCAGCAGCAGCAGCAGAAGCAGCAGCAGCAGAATGCCCCATCCATAGCAGCAAACCCCAATAAAATACAGGAAGCATTCTTCCCTCAATAGATGCACGAGCTGCTAGCTGCAACACACAAACCCTAAACCCTAAACCCTAAACCCTAAACCCTAAATGTTTAGCCATTCAGTTATTACAGAGGTTTAGGGTTTAGGGTTTGTGGCTACTCCCCTGATGAGTGCACAGTTACCTTGGTGTTGTATGCCATTAGGGTTTAGGGTTTAGGGTTTAGGGTTTAGGGTTTATTACCCTTTTAATAATATTATTGGCTTGTTGTTGTATATGATCATGAGAAGGAGAAAGAAGAAAAAGAAGACGTAAACCCTCAGCAGCAGCAGCATCTATTTGCTGCTGCTCTATTGCTGCAGCAGCAACAAAGCAACGACGTCCTAATCTTATATTGTTGCTGCTGCTCTTACTGCTGCTGCTGCTGCTGCTGCTGCTTGGTGCTGCTGTAGGGGAAGAAGAGAGAGAAACACCAATAGATGAATCTGCTGCTGACAGTACACCCCCGTGCTGCTGCTGCTGCTGCTGCTGCTGCAGCAGCTGCACCTGCTGCAGCAGACGCAGACAGTACATGCAGACAGAGCGGGTAAAGGCATTTGGTAAAGTCCACCCTTGCTGCTGCTGCTGCTGCTGCTGCAGTTGTTTTTGCTGCTGCTGCTGCTGCTGCTGTTGCTGTTGCTGCTGCTGCTGCTGGAACTCGTGTTGCTGCTGTTGGGATCCAAGCTTCTGTAACTGCGGTTGTTGCTGCTGGTACTCGTGCTGCTGCTGCTGCTGTTGCTGTTGCTGTTGCTGTTGCTGTTGCTGCTGCTGCTGCTGCTGCTGCTGCTGCTCTTGCTGCCCTCCATCTAGAAAGCCAAAGTGCATCAAACGGAAAAATGCCTCCTCACGAACTCTTGCCTTCCTGCACAATTAAACCCTAAACCCTAAACCCTAAACCCTAAACCCTAAACCCTAAACCCTAAAACCTAGATCCTGGTGCTGTAAACCCTACATCCTGAACCTCTGAATGCCTGGTCTTCCCCTATCGCCCTGTTGAAGCAAACCCTTCTTCTCAGCTACCCCAAACCCTAAACCCTAAACCCTAAACCCTAAACCCTTACGCTGCTCGTCGTATATGCGGTGTATATACACGTTGTATCCAATTAGCAAGAGAAGCAAACACTTGGCAATGCAACAACTCATCAGAAGAAACTATTCTACTCTTACATAAACAAGTAAAAAAACCCCTGTAAACAAAAAAAAAAAATACAAACCCTAAACCCTAAACCCTAAACCCTAAATCGTAAACCCTAAACCCTAAACCCTCAAGATTGTTTACTAACGTGGTGTATCGATCGCATTCTGTCCTCCTACTTGTTAAACAGAAAGATGTTTAGTGTTTCTAGCTTGGTGTTGTATTTCCTCTTTCAGACATAGGATTAGGGTTTAGGGTTTAGGGTTTAGGGTTTAGGGTTTGTATACCTAGCAGGTCTCCCATTAGGTTCAGAGAATTTGGTTGTTTCTTCTGTTCTCCACAGTTGTTTAATCCATGAGGTTAGGGACTTTTGTTGTTTCTTGCTGCTGCTGTTGCTGTTGTTGCTGCTGCTATTGCTGTTGCTGCTGTTGCTGCTGCTGCTGCTGTTGCAATGCAGCAGCAGCAGCAGCAAAGCCTTCTCCATCTCCTTAATTTCTGCCTTATAAGTATAAAGGACTTGAGGAGACAAACTAAGGAGACGAAAGAAGCAAGCAAGAGACAATTGTCTAACAGATAACAGAGGAGACCCTTTGTTGCTGCTGCTGCTGCTGCTGCTGTCTTCTGCTGCTGCTGCTGCTGCTGCAGCAGCAGCAGCAGCAGCAGCTGCATCTGGTGATAGGTTAGAGGAGTCCTGCTTTGACAACTTCGTAAAGTTGAAGAGTGTTGTCTGCGATGCTGCTGCTGCTTGCTGCTGCTGCTGCTGCTGCTGCTGCTGCTGCAGTTGCTGCTGTGTGCCCTTTGAAGCCGCCGTTGTTGCTGCAGCAGCAGCAGCAGCAGCAGCAGCAGCAGCATTACCTGCAACAAATCGTACAAAGTTGCGGGCATTCTTCTGCAGGACATGAGGACCATGTAGCTGCAGCAGCAGCAGCAAGAAGCAGCAAAGTTGCTGCGGAGAAAAAAGGATAAAATTACTACTAGGTCCTATAGATAAATAAATAGGCAAAAGGGATAAATAATATTCTTTTTTTTCTTTTTTTTTCTTATTTTTATCCTTATTTATTATTAATCTTTCTTCCTCTATATATAATAATTCATATACTAATTCCTTATTCATTCCTTCCTCCTTATCTCCCTCCTCCTTATCTGTCTCCTTATCTGTGTCCTTATCTACTGTCTCCTTATCTAGTGTCTCCTTATTAGGTGTCTCCTTATTAATAAATGTCTCCTTTTTTATTGTCTCCTTATTTATTGTCTCCTCCTCTTGTGTCTCCTTATTTATTGTCTCCTTTTTTATTGTCTCCTTTTTTTTTGTCTCCTTTTTTTTTGTCTCCTTTTTTGTCTCCTTTTGTGTCTCCTGTTGGTACCCAAGGAAGGCTAAGACAGATAATAAATCATTAGGGTTTATAAACCCTTGCTGCTGCTCATCATCATCTTCCTGCTGCTGCTGCTGTTGCTGCTGCTGTTGCTGCTGCTGTTTGTTCTCTTCTTGTTGCACCTTCTCCTTCTGCTGCTGCTGCTGCTGCTGCTGCTGCTGCTGCTGCAGTGTATATTGATGTGTTGGGTGTAGAGCAGCAAGCAGCAGCAGCAATTGAGATAATGCAAGTCTTAAGGGTAAAGGATAAAATTCTTCTTTTGCTGCTGCTGCTGCTGCTGCTGCTGCTGCTGCTGCTGCTGCACCTAAAAAAGAGAATGTCTTTGCTTCTACACGATGTATTAAATGCCATGTCTTCTATAAGACACACAAACACATAAATAAATAAATAAATAAATAAATAAATAAATAAATAAATAAATAAATAAATAAATAAATAAATAAATTACTAAAAAATAATATAAATATAATTTATTTACCTGTTGTCTATGCAGCAATTGTAGTTGGTGTCTCCTACTAATATAATTAATGCTGCTGTATACAGCAGCAGCAGCAGCAGCAGCACTGCTGCTGCTCGGGTGTCTCTGCAGCTTCTGCAGGGCCTTAAGTAAATCCTCTAATACTTCCTCTAAGGAAGACATCTTCTCTATAAACCCTCAAGGGTTTAGGGTTTAGGGTTTAGGGTTTAGGGTTTAGGATACAGTAGAACGTAAACCTGGTTACCCGTCAGGGGCCCCCAAGGAACCCTAGGGGGGGGCCCTAAAGGGTACTGGAAAATCTAGGGGGGGCCCAAAGGGGGCCCCACGGGGGCCCTAAGGGGGCCCTAAAGGGTGCTGGAGACCTAAGGGGGCCCTAGAGGATATACTGAAGGGCCTCTAAGGGTTTGTTGTATAAGAAGGGTTTAGAGGAGAGGGGCCCCTATACGAGTATTGGGGGCCCCTGGGGGCCCCCAATACCCTTTCAGCTTGTAGGGTTTGTCTTAGGTAGGGAGAAAAAAAGAAAAGAAAGAACAAACTCAATTTTAGTTAAAGACAACCAGTATAGCTACAAAACCCTAAACCCTAAACCCTAAACCCTAAACCCTAAACCACCGCAGGAACAGCTGGCTGAGCGGACTCGTAAGAAAGCAGCAACTAGAGAGGTAAGAAAAACACCAAAACCCTTAATGAATCAAAGACCTCAATTTTAGGGTTTAGGGTTTAGGGTTTACAGTTTAGGGTTTAGTTCTAAGAATTTAGCTTTGGGGGGTGGTGGCGAGCCGCTCACCTGGGGGGCCCCCTGGGGGGCCCCCCTAGTACCCACTAAGAAGATTGTGCTTTTTTACACAGGACAATTAGCAGCAATAATAATATTTAATTTCTTTTTTATTGTTTAAAGTGTATGATTTATTATATAGACTTTAAAATTTAGGGTTTAGGGTTTAGGGTTTAGGGTTTAGGGTTTAAATGGCATCATTTTCTCCATTGGATTGTTTTGCAAATGAAGGAAACGCAGAAGATGAACTTTTTGGTGATTTACTCTCACAAGAAGAAGGTAACCCAACAACTGCAGCAGCAGCAGCAGCAACAGCAGCAGCAGCAACAGCAGCAGCAGCAATAGAGGTGTGCAGCGTAGAGTGCATGAGACACAGTTAGAGGATCAAACCAATTTCTTGTGTATGCCCTGGTTCTCTTGCTGCTGCTGCTGCTGCTGTTGCTGCTGCAGCGGAAGGATGTGGTCTACTAGGTTCATTAGATGGGGAATTAAATGGAGAAGAAGATGAGGGTTTAGCTGAGGGTTTACCTGAGGGTTTACGCGAGGGTTTCTCTTCCTTTTCTTCTCCTCATCTTTGTTTATGGGTTATTCATGCGGATAGACAATTACTATTTCAATGCCCAAACCCTCAGGGGCCCCAAGGGGCCCCGGGGCCCCAGGGGCCCCTGGGGGCCCCCACCGATTCTATGGGGGCCCCCCAACACTCCGAAGGAACCACGTGCTACTGGAGGGTATGGGAAAGACCGATTAGGGTTTAGGGTTTAGGGTTTAGGGTTTTAGGGTTCGAGTTACAAGTGGTTATTGATTAGGGTTTTGAATACACATCAGCCTCAGGGTATCTTATTAAATTCCAAATTTTAGGGTTTAGGCTTTTCTAGGGTTTAGGGTTTTCTAGGGTTTAGGGTTTTCTAGGGTTTAGGGTTTAGGGTTTAGGGTTGTGTGTATATTTTTTTTTTTTTTTTTTTAGGAATTAATGTTAGCTGGTGTATCTTTTGTTCGTTCGCATTTATGCGCGGGGAATTCTTTTTTATTTGGCGTTGTATTATTTAATGCATGCAGCAGCAGCAGCAGCAGCAGGAGCAGCAGCAGCAGTTCAGGAGCAGAAGCAGCAGCAGCAGCAGCAGAAGCAGCAGCAGGTGGTGCACTACTTACACCTGGTGTAACCCTAGCAATTCCTGTACAAAAAATAAATATAAAAATAATTGAGGAATTAAAAACCCTAGGAGGGTTTACTATTCATCAATTTAATCAAACTTTTCCTCTACCTCAAGAAACACCACCCTTCTCAGGTATCAAGGGTTTAGGGTTTAGGGTTTAGGGTTTAGGGTTTAGGGTTTTGGGTCGTCATAGTAGAGGGGAACAAAGGTAAATGAAGGACTGTGAGTGTTGGGTTGGAGGGTTAAAAATGTTCGAACTAGGGTTTAGGGTTTAGGGTTTAGGGTTTAGGGTTTAGGGTTTAGGGTTTGGTTGCCACAGACTTATGGTGGACATTGAGTTCGTTGATAGCTGCAGCACAGCAGCACAAGAAGAAGCAGAAGCAGCAGCAGCAGCAGCAGCAGCAGCATCAGAGGATATTCTTATTTACAGGGTATGATGACCCCTGCAGCAGCAGCAGCAGCAGCAGCAGCAGCAGCAGCGAGGAGGAGATGGAGAGGAGCGCATGCATCCAACGAGTGTTGGATATTAAATCAAGAAAAGCAGAACTTCTTCTCTTCCCTCTTGAGCATGAAGGTCTACTAAACCCTAAACCCTAAACCCTAAATATGCAAACCCTAAACCCTAAACCCTCGCTAATAGTTTTCTTCCTTTCTTCCTGTGGGTGAATTCTGATGAGTTGTAAGACTTCGCCTTTGCACAAAATTTTATTGTTTAGGGTTTAGGGTTTAGGGTTTAGGGTTTAGGGTTTAGGCTTTTTCAGGGTTTAGGGTTTAGGGTTTAGGGTTTAGGGTTTATATGCAGAGGGTACATTTGATATGTCAATCTTCTGGAGGGAAGCATTGGGGAATAAAGAAGGAGAAGATGCATGCCATCTATTACTACCTAATTTACAACCTACTATTGAGTAAACCCTAAACCCTAAACCCTAAACCCTAAACCCTAGAAGAGGGATGGTGATTAGAGAGAATCTCTCTTGTGCAGACAGTAGCACCTTTAGGGTTTAGGGTTTGGTGCTGAGGGTTTAATATTATTGGGGATTATGGTAAATTCTCCATTTCTAGGGTTTAGGGTTTAGGGTTTAGGGTTTAGGGTTTAGGGTTTAGGGTTTTGATTTTTTTTTTTTTCAGGCGTACGTTCCGTCGTGCTCGTTTATTATCTTCTTTTCCTTTTTATCTTTCTCCTTTTCTTTCTATTCCTATCTGCCTATACACCTCAATAACTAACCCTAAACTTTTATCTCCTTCCTTAATACATTTACCATCAAGGGCCCCCCTTCTTTCTTGTACCCGATTGTCAATACACCCACCAGGGGGGGCCCCCCAGTCTGTACACCCCAGCCAACCTCTTGCAACAAAAGTACCTATGGGGGATACACAAGGGGGCACTCAAGGGGGCCCACAAAAGGCGTCTCAGGGGGCCCCTCTAAAGGTCTCTCAGGGGGGCCCCCAAGGGGGCCCCCAAGAGGACTATTTAGTGGTTGGGGGACCCGAAGAGGAGAGTATAATAGTTGGGGGCCCCGATGGTGGGGGCTCCCTTGGGGGCCCCCCAGAGGAGCGTATGATAGTAGGGGGGCCCCAAGAGGAGCATGCAGTGGTAGGGGGGCCCCCTGGAGTCCCCCCAAAGGAGGATGGAGGAGTTGGGGGCCCCCACATATCGAAGGGGGCCCCGCAGGGGGGCCCCAACGTATCGAAGGGGGGCCCCCAGGGGGGCCCCCTTGATGATATTAAGGGTATGGGTACAGTAGTAAAAGTATTTGAGCATGCAGATAGGGTAATAGAGGTAACAGAAGAAGAAATACGCCAATTAAAGGTACGCATAAACCCTAAACCCTAAACCCTAAACCCTAAACCCTAGGGTTTGTATGGTGTATGTATACACCTAATGTGTACAAAGAAGGGAGGAAGGAAAAAGGAGACAATAAAAAGGAGACACTTTATTTATTTATGATTTAATTAATTAATTAATTAATTAATTAGTTAATCTAATTAATTAACTAATTAATTAATTAATCTAATTAATTAATTAATTAATTAATTAATTAATTAACCAACTAAATAGTTAGCTAATTAATTAATTAATTAATTAATTAATTAATTAATTAATTAATTAATTAATTGATTAATTATATTGATGTGTATATGTTGCAGGATTGGGGCTTTCCTTGCATGCGTTTATTAGGGTTTGTGAATAAGAAGGAGATAAACCCTAATTATAATATAAATAATTCTTTTTTTTTAGGGTTTCCTCCTTCTTATATAATTGAGTCTTATAAAAGGAGACAAATAAAGAGACAAATTAAACTGCAGCAGCAGCAGCAGCAGCAGCAACAGCAGCAACAGCAGCAGCAGCAGCAGCAGCAGATAGAGACAAGAGACATTACACAATACTTCAAGGAAGCAAATCGTCTCCTTTCTTCTCTTCTTATTGCTATGGAAAATAAACAAAATGTATACTAGGGTTTAGGGTTTAGGGTTTAGGGTTTAGGGTTTAGGTTTTAGGGTTTTCTATTTCTGTTCCTTTTTGTCTCTTCTTCTTCCTTGTGTCTTTCTTCTTTTGTTTGTCCTCCTTTTTGTTGTTATATATATCTATATACCAAACCCTAAACCCTAAACCCTAAACCCTAAACCCTAAACCCTAATTAGCTGTGTGTGTTTGTTATCTTTTTTCTTATTAGGCAGCAATAGTTACTTATGTATTAAAGAGGGGGGCCCCCGTACAATTGGGGGCCCTATTACCCCAGGTATATATATAATTAGGGTTTATATAAATAAATAAATAAATAAATAAATAAATAAATAGATAATATATTTGTAAACCCTAAACCCTAAACCCTTAGACAGTTGTACCCTTCTACTAACACACCCTTATAAACCTAAACCCTAAACCCTAAACCCTTAAACCCGTCAAAACCCTTGATAGGAAGTATAAAAGACATCAGAAGTGTTTGTTGAGGGTTTAGGGTTTAGGGTTTAGGGTTTGTGTATGTATATACAGCTACAAGAAATAGATAATGAAGGGTTTATAAGACAAAGTAGCGGTTTTTATTTATTATGTTTACCTTATAGAGAAGAAATAAGATATCCATTACCTTCTTCTTCCTTGCATGCAGTTTCTTCTTCTTTTTTGTCTTTTTTATTAGATAATAAATTAAATATAGATACATTAATAAACCCTAATCTAAACCCTAAACCCTTAAATCTTAATACACAAGAATTACATACACTTAAACTCAGTATACAACTCGCCGATATACTCAAACGTAAGCTAAACCCTAAACCCTAAACCCTAAACCCTAAACCCTGAATTCATACACACAACCAATACTTTAGACATTCTCTTCTTGGTATACCTACAGGCAGCAGCATGCTGTGTATTCACCTAGGGTTTAGGGTACAGGGTGTAGGGTATAGTAGGGTTAAGGGTTTATAATCCTATGATTTAGAGTTTAGGGTTTAGGGTTTAGGGTTTAGGGTTTAGGGTTTAGGGTTTAGGGTTTAGGGTTTAGGGTTTATGTGTGTATCAGATGTAGAGTTAATAGACTTTGACGTAGAGCAACTAATAAATTATATAAAAAAGAAACAAATAGCAATAATTGAATCTTGTGCTCTTTCTTTATCTTCTCCTTCTTATGAGGGTTTATATGATCCTCTTATTCCTCAACAAGAAAGATTCCAATTAATTGATACATTATTACTTCAATGGGCTGAAAAGTATACTAAACCCTAAACCCTAAACCCTAAACCCTAAACCCTAATTTCTAAACCCTAAACCCTAAATTCTAAATTTTTAAAACTAAACCCTAAATCCTTGCACCACCTTATTTCCTCTTTATTTATTTATTTAATTTTTTTTTTCTTTTTTCTTTTTTTTTGCATGCAGCGTAAAGAATGCAGCACCAATAGATGAATTATTGGAGGGGCCCCCAGAGGGGCCCCCATCTCGTCGTGGTAGGGGGCCCCCTGACTCCTCTTATGGGTCTAATAAGAGGTCTAAGACGGGTAGTAATTGGGGTGTACGTACAGGTGATGTGTCTGCATGCAAGGAGGAAGTTTTGGGGCTGGCAAGAGAAGATAAACTTGACTGTCTAACTGTCCAACAATTAAAGGGTTTTCTTTCTTTATATAAATTAAATACAACAGGAAAAAAAGGAGAATTAATCACAAGAATTAAACTTTTTATTGCTAATAATCAACAATTATAAACTTATATATATATATATATATATATATATATATA